AAATTAAGATTAGATTTCTATATTCTCTGTTTTGCTTTCGCATATAATCTTTCGTTTTTATGATACAGCGGCATTTTTAAGAGCTTTCTGACAGGCTATATTTTTCAATGTTATGTNCTTCTATTAGACTTTATTCCTCACTTTTTCTTAAAAATATGGTAATTGGAAAACTACCATGTTCAGCTTTTAAATTATTTTTCGAAAATTAAGATTAGATTTCTATATTCTCTGTTTTGCTTTCGTATATAATCTTTCGTTTTTATGATACAGCGGCATTTTTAAGAGCTTTCTGACAGGCTATATTTTTCAATGTTATGTGCTGTTTTAAGCTGCTAAAAAAATGCCGTTATCTGGCTCTGTATATATGGTATTCGGCCGATTTTTCTGCTGAATATCCGGTATTCGACCAAATCACAATTCATCACCACATACGACCAAATCACATTTGTCACCAAAAACAAGATTGAAAAACAACTTCGATATACAATAAAGTTATACCGAAATAAAATTGTATCAAAAAGTAATTATATAAATGCGCAATCAGAAATTTGCGTGCCGTAATAACATTGCAGTTAAAATAAAGGGATCGTCATAATCACGTGGAAAAATATAGAAATAATTACAATTGTTGTTGTTGTTGTTACTTTACGTCGCACTAGAGCTGCACAATGGGCTATTGGCGATGGTCTGGGAAACATCCCGGAGGATGATCCGAAGACATGCCATCACAATTTTGATCCTCTGAGGAAGGGATGGCCACCCCCGCTTCGGTAGCCCGACGACCTGTGCGCGAAGTCGAGCACTTTACGGTAGCACAGTTTAACGAGGACCAATACCGCACACCCTCGGTCCCTACGCAGACTGAGGAAATAATTACAAGAAAAAAAGATGTAAAATTACTTAAATTTACAATGAAATTAGCACAGTTAAAGCGCTTTTAAAATTGGAATTTCCTAATAAACATAACGGAATTATCTATTAAAACTACGTGGAAATAACTGAATAACTGCCGAAAAAAATTTAAAAAGAAAAAATTGCAAAAAAATAATGAAGAAAAAAAATCACTCTAATTTACCACGAAATCAGCATAAATATAGTGCTTCAAAAAGTGATTATTTAATTGGGCGTATTGAAACCCGTCCGTCGTAATAATATCATAATAAAAATACGGGATTTTCGAAATCAGGTAGAAAAGCGAAAGTCACCGCTAAAAAATTGTCTAGATTTACGATAACATCAACTCAAAACGAGTAAAAAAGTGATTTAATGGCGAGATTCAACTTCAAAATTTATAATAATATCGTATTAAAAATATACTTAAATGTGCGATTTGAAACTCACGTGTGGTAATAATAACGTGAAAATACGGGATTTCCAAATCACGTAGATAAGCGTCTAAATAACTGTTTTATAAAATATCATTTAGATTTACGAGAAAAAGAATTTTTAAAAAAAAGCGTGCGAAAAAGTGATTATTTAAGTGTGGGATTCAATTTCGAGATTCATAATATCATATTAAAAATATAAAGATTTTCAAAACTATGTGAAAATACAATCCCTAGCAACAATTTTACCTTGGGCTCAATATGGGCCCTATATGAACATAAACTGAGGAACCAAGATTGGGATGTCAAGATTCTTAAATATTGGTCCTCTATAGATCCAATATCGGTCTATATAGGGGCAATATTGGCTGAATAATGAACCTAAAATATCAGAAGAACCTGACAATACTATTGAAGGCCGATATAGGTTGTAAAATATCGGGGGAAGATGTCACTTCTATATAGGTTCAATATCTGAAAATAACACGTCTTTGATCCTTATTGAGCAAAGATTCGTGAATATTGGTCCCATGAGGACCAAAGTTATTTTGCTGCTAGGGATGTAATAACTGCCACATAATAACCTGGGATTTATGATGAAACCGAAAGATATGAATCACATCAAAATTTCCGGAAGAAAGATCGAAACGCCAATTAGATTTATGATGAAATCAGTAAATACAAACCTAGTTAAAAAATTACCACTGAAATTACTATATAATCTGCAAAAATTTAGCGTGTCCAGGGGTGATTGTGGGCCCAACTCAAAAATCTTGAGTTAAATCATTCAAAAAATTCATATCTTCATAAATTTAAATCATTGAAATATTCAAAACATGATATTTATTCTAAATGTATTATAAGCAGCATAATTTAAATGAATAATTATGTGTAAGTTTATTTTTATCTCTAATCACATTTATTATTCTACCAGAAAAAATATTTACAAATGAATTAAAAATATTGGAAATATTAAAAATATTGAATGAACGAAAAATATTTACAATTTCCAGAGCACCATCACCAGTGCGTGCCAAAGAGTGATGACTCAAAAGTGAGATTTAAAATTTTCAAATTTTTTTTATTTTCATCAGGTTTAGAAACTTCTGCAACAGGTTGCGCACCCCTATTTTAGTGGTATCTAAATTTTTGTTTAATGTATTACTTTTTGTTTTGTAAATTAGATTTAAAGTAAAATACAACACCACAACATGTAAATGATTCAAAAGTTCATATGAAACAGCACTTAGTTCTAGCTCTCATGTGGTAACATTTAAAAAATCCTGGCAAAATCAGCAAAATTTCTGAAATTTTTAATTTTTAAAAGATTCACCACTCAATAAATTGTTTAGCAAAGAACATACTAGCTGACAGACTGGCCGACGGCCTCTGAGGTGACATCAAAAGTCGAAAAATTGCAATTTTTGCAACTTAATATTATTTAACATTTTCTATTATTATTAGTTATAATGTAGCATTATTGCAACATATATATAAAATAAATTAGTACTTACAATAATTAACATAGCATTTCAAAGTACTCAGAGTTCAGAAGATATAAAAAAAAGCGGTAGGAAACATCGTTTTAAAGATTCATTTGAAAGAAACAAATGTGTGTTTTCTCTTTTTCACCATGTAGTGTTTAAGCAAATTTATAATTGCTATTATGCACGGCTATTTTTTAAAAATTTATTCTTAAATTTTCTGCCAACCATGCTGTCAGAATTAACTTTAATCTTTGTTCATGATTTATTCTTTTCAAAAATGCACCTTTTAAACCAGGCAACTAAATACAATTAAATAACATCTTCTTTCACATTCATTTAGAAATACTTATATCTCTCATGTACTTTATCAAATTCTTATAATCCAAATAATTTACGCAATAAGTGTAATGTTCATTCATATTGCACATAATTTGTGTTCAAGGCAGTAATGTAGATTTTATCTTTTTTTTGATCATGCACTTTCTTTTCAGATATATAGTTCACTAAGAAAAATTTTGGTTGCAAAACTGATTATTGAAACATGTTACATTTCAAAATAAATTCCTTTTTAAGATTTACAAATACTAAGTTACATTTCAAAAAAATATACTAATCATTTCAAAGAGCAATTGGTTTGTGAATTAAAGAAAATTGCTACAGCACAAGAAGGCCCCATTTGAACAAAACAAAAATATTTTTTTTGGGGGGGGGATGCCCCTTCGCAAACCCAGTTTTATACTTTATGTGGTGACCTGCCAACTACAAATGAACACTGCCAGTCCGGTATCCCCCAGCAAAGAAAAACACAAAAACTTATGCTTTGTTTTCTCGTTTTGATTATTCGCTGAATTTTACATACATATATTAATGATCTGCTTATGTTATTATCGTTGCTTGTTTAACTATATGATATTTATTATTATTCAAAACTGTTTATTATATAAATTTTATTAAAAGTAGTACATGTTTTTCTCAAAAACCGTACCTCCACAAACAGGTGACCCAGACGTGATATGAACTCGTCTACACCAAAAGTTATGCCCACTTTCATTAATGGTTCTCATTGAACAGTTGACTTGCTATTTCTAACTGCATCATTGCCCTCCTCGCGTTAAAGCTTCTTAGTCTCTCACATAACGGGATCCTGCATACACTCAACTGGAATGCTAAAGCCACACAGAACAGTGAATTTAATACAGCTCTAGCGACAAACGCTCGGAAACTTAAACTTAATACAGCTTCACAAGCACTCAAAATCTAGCAAACTTAATACAGCTCTCCCAATCTTTCGGAAATAAGGCAACCAGTAGCATCCCTTCATCGAATATGATTCCTGATAAAATTCTGGGGGGTGAGTATTGTGTCAAAACTAACACTACAATTATAATCATCATTTCACTAGTACATAAGACATACTATTTCTATTCAATATTAAGGTACCTTTTGAATGATGAAGGTTGACCTCCTCCCAATTTTATATACAAACAAAAATTAATTATCTGTTACTTTCATTGCTTGTCTATATATTATTATCCAAAACTGTTTATTTTATAAATTTTATTAAGAGTAACATGCTTACTTATTTCTCTCAAAAATCGTACTTCCACACTTTAAAATGAATGCATACTGTGAGTATTTAGAGGTCCACTAAACAAACAATTTGCTTTTCTTACACTCTGAAAGTAAAATCACTAATAGGCGAAATAATATAAACATTGTCAGCTCTAAGATAAAAATTACATTTTCTTTCCTTTTTTTTTTACATTGAACCAAATAAAACGCATACTTACACAACAATATAAACATAAATTGTTACTACAAAGCAATGAAAAGCGCTTACGAACCCTTCATTTAAAAAATAAACACTATTGACCGGATGTAAACAAAAGGTGAACAATATTATGTAATCAAATCTTTTAAGAATAACTTTTAAAAATATTATCAGTTTTTAATGCTAATGAAATTTGAGATTATTGTTTCAAAATCTTGTTAAGAAAAAGTGAGATTTCTCCTTATTAATAGTTTCCTCACACATTGCTACAGGGTTAACATAATTCTTTTCAGGACCCCTTTCCCTACCCCCTATCGCCTGAGACAAAAATAAAGCGAGTTTCCAAACATGCTGATATACTAAAGGATAGGATTAGGAAGGTTCAAAGAGAGAAATACACTATTTGTTTTCACTTACCTTGTGATTTTGGCTTCCTTGGCATTTTCTAAATAGTTCACCTCCAAACTTTTGACATTCTTGCCTGCATTTTAGCCAAAGCCTCCATGATGAATATGTCATGTTGAGGCCATGTGATCCGAAATCCAAGCTTGATTGGCCCACTGCGAATCTACACTGAACGGCGGTAAGAATCGTATTCCACTATAGCACCTCAACACACTGATTAGTAAACAAGAAAGAAATAAACACTGGTACGAAAGAAAACTATCATCATTTAGCGAAAAGATAAAGTATCCCTCTAAGACATTGTTAACTAAAGCACAACGAACAAGTTTTGAGAGTTCTCTTCTGCTCGTTTCAGCCTAAGGCTACGACTGTGCCCATTTCAACGGACGGGGGAGAGAGGGAAACGACCTCCGACAGGGTTGCCAGCTCCTTGTTATATTTGTTGCCAAATCCAGCTGATTATCCAAACACAAAGTGATAAAGCGACCTTCACATATGGTATGCTTTCACCAAGCTTTGCGCATGCGCAAAGCTACCACGTCGTCATCGTTGCCAAAAGCTATTTACGCCGCGGACTGACGCCGATTTTTCGGCTAAAAACCGAACTTTCATCTGCTACTTTATGCAAGAGATAGACCAATAGGAGGTTAGGAAGAGGAGTTCGCGTTTTAACCAGATACAATCGAACATGATATGTTTTTTATTTCCTAAACATACTTGTTTACTATTATCTGGTAACTATGATATATTTTCATAAATGCTTTCTTTATTAAAGGATTTTCCTTTGGAAAAATTTTATTATTTTTAAGTTCCATTACTTTTTTGTAACGTTAAACAGGAAGCAAATTTCAGAATTTATTTTCTTTTTTAAAACTTTTTGATTTTGAAAAAGTGTTAAAAAAAATTTTTTTCCAATTCAAATTGTGGGCAAATTTAACAAAAAATTAATAAATAAAATAGAGATATTAAACTGTAAAAGGTTTTAAATCCGCAACCAATTTTCTGCATTTTTCAGCACTTTTTTGGTGCACGTTTTAGCATTAATTATAAATATTTGTTATTTAGTTTCAAATAAAAAAAAAATACATCTTTATTTTCTACACCTTCCTTTCCGCATTTTTTGTGTTTATTTTTTTATTTCGATTATAAATTTTAGTTCACTGATATATTAATCTCGCTCGTTTGGTAATTAATTGAATATAAACTTTGTTCGTCCTCTACTGTAAACTTCAAATATGCATATGATTCTTTTATTTCAAATTTTCATTAAGTTAATAACCAAAATCGTTTGCATTGGTGACTTACATTTAATATTTGTAAAAGCAGATGTTCATTTAAATAAAACAGAAAGTTATGTCCCCATAAGCGATTAACAGTTATTTAATACTTCTGTGTCTGATTGGTTGTTCATTTACAAACGTATACGAATGTCTGAAGGGGCTCGGCCTAGCACAGCTGAAATCTAGTGGAAAAGTTTGCTTTCTACTTCAGTCTGAAGATATATGTGATAGCCGCTTTACAATATTCATTTAGTTCCCTTAATGAAAGTATGTATAAACGAATTCGGAAAGAAAATAGTACATAAAAGCAGATCCCTTAAGAAAATTTAAGATATTTTTGAGCTGTTGAGGTATATCCCAAGTAGCACCTAATATTAGATAACCAGCAGAAAAACAGAAAATCTAACTTGCACAACTTTCTAATATTAGGAAGATACAAAGGGTGGCTTTTTTCTCTGCATTATACAACGTTAGATTCTATACAAACTAATATTATCTAGCATTCACCTTAATATAATTTTTTATTGGTTTTTATGCTATATAATATTAGATTCTACAGTTTCTGTTAATATCTTGCTTCGTTTTCTTATTTTTGGAAAAAGTAAGCGGAAGATTTGGATGTTAGTTGAATAATTGGGTAATATAATTTTATTTAATTTTCTGTATCGTTGTGAAGCAGTAGAACATAGAACAATAGTTTATAATGTCATTCCATGCATTATTTACTTAGCAATACTTCGCGAGCAGGTCGTCGGGCTATTGAAGCGGGGGTGCCATCCCCTCAGCAGAGGATCAAAATTGTGATGGCATGTCGTCGGATCATCCTCCGGGATGTTTCCCAGACAATCGCCAATAGCCCATTATGCAGCTCTAGTGCGACGTAAATTAACAACAACAACTTAGCAATACAGAAATATTAAATAAAATTGTATAAACGAATTCTGCTACCATCCATTTTCCTCCCACTTACTCCAAAGTATATCTGTGTTCAGCTGTTTTAAGCGACAATGAATGAATTTCGGAAAAGTCTGGGTTTTGGATTGTATTATCGATCTTCTTGCTTCGAGTTATCATAGATGGGTACTCTTAGGGAAAAAAAAGAAAAAAAAACTCAATTAGAAAACTGACATGTCATAGAAGGATTGCCGAATCGGGTTTGGTACGAAATGGCCGAAATTCAGAGAACATTGAAATCCGTTAAAATCTCATCACCGATGAAATATCCGACAATGAATGAATTTCGGAAAAGTCTGGGTTTTGGCTTGTATTATCGATTTCTTGCTTCGAATTATCATAGATTTTTGCTCTTGGGAAAATGACCTGAATCGGAAAACTCGTATTTCGCTGCAAAATTTGCCGAGTCGGACCTGAGACAAAATCGCGATATGGACGAAACTCTGATAATGCCGTAATATATTTAAATCTCATCAACGATAAACATCCGGCAAAATAGGAATTTCGGCTTAATCGGGATTTTGGCTCATTTTATCTCTGACGTCTTGTTTCGAATTATTTTAGTTGGTTGCTCATGAAAGAACTACAATGCTGCAATGTTTAAATCTTTCAATATCAAGCTTACAACACAGAGACAAACCCCAACTACGACATTCAGGCTGATTTGGGACTGACTTGACCTACGAATATAAACACACCTTATGCTGTTTTATCTCCTTCTTAAAACGTAATCAAACAATGTTTTCCGTTCGTCTTATACAACTGATACTNGACCTGCACGCGAAGTCGAGCACTTTACGGTAGAACAGTTTAACAAGGACCCATACCGCTCACCCTCGGTCCCTACGCAGACTGATCCAAGTGGTCACCCACCCGCACACTGACCGTACCCAGTGATACTTGACTTCGGTGATCTGCTGGGAACCGTGTCTTAACGATCAGTCCACTGCGGGACCATCTTTCCATCAGACTGTGCAATTTCCTTCTAGCCTTCGCAAAATTGAATCGGCCAGAGAAGAAGTTTCATTTGAGGGGAGATTTGAAAACAAACAGTTTCTTCATAGATCTTCTTGAAGATAAAGAGCTATAGCTGAAGTTATAAAAGAAAATAAATTAAACTTAACATTTTAAAAAACCAAATTTAAAACTATTAAACAATGAATATTTATTTGAAACTTAAATTATTGAATTGGAAAATGTTTTTAAAAAATATATTTTACACTGAAATTCAATGGGTAAATACCAGTATTAATTCCTACGTAAAAAAATCCTAGTAGCACCACACACGAAGCAAAAAGACATCACAGAGGGAAAGATATTAACTTAAATAGTTAAACTCATAAACACTCCCAAGCAAACTATGACATTCTTTTTTTTTAAATTTCTAACTGCAAAAACCTTTAACCCTTTTCGTGAGACCTGAAAATCACAACTCGCTATGTGGTAAGTCAACAAAAAAAGAAGCGATTTAAATAAACAACTGCTTATTTTTTTTTTTCCATTTCTTTTTTTAAAAAATCGTTTGATGTCAATGTAAAAAGATACTGTGGGAATTCAGAATCCATCAATTTGTGGTTGAAAAAATCATTTAGAAGGAGAATTCTTTAATAATTTACATATTTCAAAGATGCAATATGTGCATTAAATATATTTTGCCCCTCACCAAATATTTTTACAAAACGCTCTTTAAAAAACAGTGTGCTTAACTAAATTTTGTCACATATTTATTATTTTTATTGTTCAATTTAATTTTTACAGCTGAACATTTAGGCATATTCTGATACGAAAATATATCAAATTCAATGCTTTTAATTTTAATACATTGCACAAGCTTATATAATGGTGCATATAAATGTGTGCTTTATTTGTGACAATTTTGTCACAAATCTAAGATATTTCGTTATTATCGTCCTCTCAACAGTTATTGCTATGCTTTTTCTAGGGGACTCGAAAATCTTAATATTTATAATTCGGTTTTGCAACGACTCGCAATCTTCGACGTCACTTCGGACGTGCTTTATTTGTGCTGATTTCAAAGTCAATCCATGTTATCTTTCAAGTGTTTTATTCATTTTTTATTTGGGCCGACCAGGTGGCCGAGCGCAGTCAGGCTGCGGTACCGATGGTTGCGGGTTCGAATCCCACTCAGGGCATGGATGTTTCTTTCTCTCTGTGTGTTCTATGTCCTTTATTCTGTATGATTGTGTGAATGTAACCCGCCCTATAAACGGGTTTGTGGTTGTATGACGTGGGTGACGCTACTCCACCGCCGAGGCTTAGTCATAGGTGCTCACTGGGTAACGATAAGAGAGTAGCAATTCTGGCATTTCTAAGGCCAATGGGAAATAGACCCAAGTGCCCACCATTGACCAAAAAAAAAAAAAAAACATTTATTTGGTAGTTGCCAGAATGTATTTCCAAGTGTTTTTGTTTTTTAATCTCTATATTTTTAATATAATATTATTACAAAACGCGAAATTCAAATACCGGTTTTTAAACTGTTTACTGTTTTTAAACTTTGCTACCAATATTTTGTAACTCAAAAAAGTGCTTAAAAACCGTTTTAAGACTTAACATTCATAAAATCTCTTATAAATTATTAAATATATGAATGTTCATGAAATAAAAATATTCTGAACTCAATCCCAACTGAATGCTATATCTTATTTTGAACTATAATGTTTTCTGTTTTATTTCAAATTATTTTTAACCCCATACAATTTCTTAAATTGAAATATTTAATTTGCATTTATTTTGCTCAGTAAAATAATTTTTTTTACTTTTTCGCTTTCGTTCAAAATCATATAGCTAATTTATTTTAATTTATGCTTTCGTGTTACGTGATGTGAAAAAAAAAACACACAATATTTTCCCAATATTTTTCGATGAATCTATTTTTTTTTTTTTTTTAATGAAAGAAGAAATATACTTTTATTCTGAAAAGTATCAGTTTGGTATTCCTTAGTTTTAAACTAATTTTAATATTTAAAAGAATTTAATTTTATGCAAATATGTTCCTAAGTAGACTGATAGAAAGAATTGCGTCTGAAACACTGATGTTTACATTAAAATTATCATAAATGCTGTCAACATGTCTAAGTACTTCGGCAATTCATGAACCCCTACCTATATGAATTACAATAAAAATATTTTTTTCTTCTATAAGAAATTTTTATATCACTTTACAAATAAATTTAATTCACGAATAAACTTTGAATATAATTACTATGAGATAGTGTGATGTTCCTCGGATTAGGATAAATTTCATTTCAAT